AAAAAAAAAAAAAAAAAAAAAAAAGGTTTCGGCAGTTCGGCAGTCCAAATCAGACTGACAGGGTACAGGAGCAGTGTTTGCTATCCTAAATACCTGACACTGGATAAACTAAACCTTCAGAGAAGGTGGACGTCATCTCAGCAAGATGTGCTGCTGGGCTGACCAGAATAGCTGCTCTTCATGTGTCAAGTCTTCAGCAAAGATCTCGAGGAGCTTTAAATATTTATATAACCCAAGAGAAGTCCTCAAGTTTTTGGCTTTGTGACAAAAAAATGCAGCTTTTGTAACTCCCCCCATTCCCAGACTAGTTTATCACTCCAGTGAAAAAATAACTCATGCGTGTATTTTACTCAAGAACAGCAGCTCCCGGTCATGTTACAAACCGCACAACAATTAATGTGCATTTTACACACTTCTCATACAAGTGTCTCCAGGGCTGGCAGGAAGAACAGACACATACACTGTGCCTTCCTGTTCTTGCACACATAAAGTTTTACCACCTCTTTTGAGAACTAATAGTGAAAACTGCAATTTATGGGACAGAGTATCCTGTTATCTGCCCATAAAGTCACCAAAGGAAAGATCTTTATCTTGCTTGAAAAGGTATACAGATCATTCCTTAACATTTAAATTTCTACATAAAATGTCCCTTTTGGCTATGTAGAACACCAAAACTCATTGAGGTATAGCAGGGTGAAAGTTGCCAGTGAGATAAAGTAAAAAGAGCTGAAGTTTCAGTCACCTGTAAACAAAGGCACAAGTCTCTGGATGAATACCTGTAAAGAAACACATTCCATACAGGATGGAATAGGACAGTAAAACAGTGAGACAGACCATCTAGAATCAACATATTGATTCCAAGTGCAAGAATAAGAAAACACCCATTTTTCTTAGAACAGTTATCTTTTCCAACCTACAGTAAGTCTTTGGTCCCAGGTATATCAAGAAAGCTTTGCTGGTGTGTATTGATATCTATGATGTGGTCAAAGCAGTTCTTGTGTAAACATAGCTACATCAGATGAATTACAATTTGATGTAGTAAAACAAAACTCTACCCACACAGCTTTACTGAAAGCAGTAGTTGGTAATGTTACAGCCACTCTCACAGCACTGTTTATCCCTGTCTAGTATACACTGCTATATTTGTACATAGCACTGTGATGCTTAAGCATTCTTACAACAAACAGGGTGCCAACTTGCACGTCACTTACAAATTGTTTCAGGCTAACTTCACACTCCCCTTTCCAGGGTTCTGGCTTACATATAATGCAATTAGTAAGATAATCATAAAAGACACTGTATACCTCTCCTAAAATCTTTGAAGTGCTTCATGCTATTTCCCTGCTCTTCATTAAGCCACAGTCTTCAGTAACTTGTACCATACCATATCATTTATGCCAGCAAATCCTCAAGCACCAAGACCTCCTACCTGACAAGGGACTTACTAAAGCACCACTACCCATCTGTTAAGGCCTTTTCACTGTACACTGTCTAATACCCATACCTTTATAAATCATCAAGATAAAACTTAGTCTTCTCCCTTTTCTTCTACCATGAACCAAGGCCCTGATTGAAGACTGACAATTGAAAAAGAAATCTTGAACTAATAGCAATGAAACAGCCTCACATTTAGTGATACACAGGTGTTCCTGTAATTTGTCTTGCTGCTGCTGCTATCTCACTAACCTCTACCACAAAAATACCCATGGGCTTAGTTGCCCAAGAGCAAGGCTCTGTTTATTTGAAGAGTGTCTTCCCAATTGGCCTGTCATCCATTTTGAACCAGTACAATCTTGTCCATCTCCTGCATGTGAAAGCTCTCCAAGAGATCTCCCAACTGAGTATCTTACTTGGCAAGCATTTGTATTTTACCCAGCCTAATAGCATATGGCTTTGTAATTCTGCAAGAACAACAAGGCTTGGTCTTCTTAGAATGAGGTGAAGGTAGTGTTTGCAATCATTGTGATACACTGTGATTACCTTTCTGGGAGACAGCTTATTCCAAATACTGACCAGAAAAAAAATCTTCCTTGTTATTAAAGTGTTGTTTAATCACACAAATTTATCTCTTAAATATATAGGTCTAATAGGTGCAAGATTACCCAGTGAAAAGACATCTTAAGATCGAGATACTTACAAACAGCAGAAGCAGAAGTGGAGTTATAACAATGCCCTGGAAGAAAGAAACAAACAAACAAAAAAGCTTGTTAGTCAGGGAAGCAGAATAGTCTTTACTTCCTTGTACTATAGTGCATGGAAATACACAAACATCATTCAACATCATAAAAATTAAGTAACAAGAAGTTCAACTTTGCTCTTCGTTGTGTATGTTCTTTAAGATCTGTACGCTGATCATTTTATAAACTATACTCAGTACAAAGCACCTTTTTTTACCTGCAGCTTTCCCCATTTTGCACCTAAGGCCCTCTATTCTATAAGATCTGATATACAGAAATATAGAATGTTTATTTTAAAAGACGTATTAAAGCTCTCCCCTCACTGTGCTCTATCTTAACTTCACTACACTGCTCCTCCTTAGGGGGACACTCGTGATCATGTCCCATGCTACCCAGTCCCAGGTCCTCTTCTGAGCAAAAGCCGCATCAACCGTGATGAATTAGATGTCGTGACTGTGTAATGTAAACGGATATTCCCCAAGGAAATGAGCTGAGATCTCAAAACTCATTTCACTTGATTAGACTTCACGTCTCACTGGTAGAAGGCAAGTCTTTCATCTAATTTAATCACACAGGACCACCTCAGCTTTCCACATCCCCCAGGCAGATGCAAGCAAAAAGATTTGTTGTCTTCACTGACAAGGAGCAGGTTTAAAGCTGATGATTGGACAAAACAGAGGATTTTAAGTTTCATGAGAGCAAACTTAAAATGAGTTGTTTGGGTTGGGAGTTAACATGACATGCATCAGTTTCATAGCTGCAAATAGCAATTCCCCATCATCCTTCCATCTGACTTCAATATTTTATTATTGCTCAATAAAATGATTCTATCATTTAATGCATGCTAATTCACAAAGCTTGCTCAGAACCTCTCTAAACCAAGACTATTCTTCATCTAGATATGTCTCAAAAATAACTAGTCTTTCAGCTATTCACAAAGTTTATTGCTTAAAGGACAAAAGTCCTAAACTTGCTCACATTCATCTCCAAGGATGCTTATTTTATGTTTGTTTTTAGCTCCAAGTGAAAAACAACTGAACAAAAAAAAGCAGTTGTCCCCTGCTTTTCATTTAACCTTAAGTAACACAGCTTTACTTCTATCTTTTGGAAGCTAATTTGAAGAAAAACCTTATATGACTGGTTTTGTATTTGCTTTCTGGGTCCAAAAAAAGTCATGGATCCAGACGGCTCATTAGGCACCGAGAGTTCTATCGTGCTCTTAAAACAAAACACAACAAGTAAATGTCACAAATGATAGCAGACAGGAAGGATTGAGGAGGCAACAGTTAAGCTGTGCAACTTGAAGACTCTGAAGAATTAAAAAACATATTTTGAAATAAATAATATATGCCATATCTGACTGCCCCACAGCCCAGCTATCCATAATCATTTATCTTTTTGCAAATGTCACAGCTGAGATAGATCATAAAACACTAGAAAGAGAAGTAGAAGCAATAAGAATTGCTTCAGGGAGTCACTCGCTGTTTACAGGGAGGCCTAAACCAAAATGCAGGTAACAGTTATGAAGAAATATAGGTGTTCAAGTATACCAGCTGTAGAGGAAGAAACAGAAGTTGAGGAAGGGAGAAGACACCAAGAGCTGAACTGACACTTGCACACAGTAGCATCTATGATGCTCAGAATGCAGAACTGACAGTAAGATCTATATAATGTATATGCAAGAGTCACTCCATCAGGATGACCAAACTTCAGCTTTTATGTACTACTAAGAACATACATGACCGAGACTTTGCCCTTCTTCCCTTTTCCCCATTAACCACTACGCTGCACAGCTCACGCGTTACCAAGTGCCTGAGTATTCCCTAAGTATCCCATAATTTTGGGATGGCAGAATACTACTACAGCAGGATGCCACCTTCATACCTTTGCATAACGAAAGAGGAGCATGGATGGAGTGGGAGGTGATGCACCAAAAACATCCTGTATTCCAAATAAGCACTGAGTGTAGGGAGAAGAGCACACACTGCCAGCCAACTCTCATTTAAATCTGAAGGAACTCACTGATTCAGCACCATTAGTCATTTCTTATGCGCTTTATGCCTCAGTACGTTTCACAGCACTTTTATACATTACAAAAAAACCCCCCAAAAACAGCAAAGGTAAAAAACCAAACCAAACAAAACAACCTTCCCCTTTATCTTGTTGATAAATAAAGTGCCCTTCCTCTTTAGGATGGGATCTGTGACTTGGTATATATTTGCATTAGAAGCTTGGCGATGTTAACACAATGGGCAACAGTCACTGCTAATTCAAAGCACATGTCATAAAAGGAAACATTACCTCTGTGACAGTAACACTTCATAATTCTGTAAGCGGAGAGGAAGCAAACCCTTGTGTACATCATAAATAGATTCCTGACTGAGCTTGTTGAAAATCTAGCATTCAGAAGGTCAATTCTAGCAATTCTGTACAAAATTTTGCTATTAAACCTGGTGATCTTAATAATGAGAAGCGAGTTTCCCGTTGCCTCACCACAGAAAGGATTTACAAGGTTGAATTTTCCCATTTGCAACACAGACACAATTCCCTGGGAAGCTAAACAATTACCTGCCAGAACAGACAAGTTCATATTAAAAAAAAAAATAGATGCTGAATCGCAGTAATTTGATGTTAATGTTTCATTTTGATAAGGAGAGCCAGTCTGAAAAACCACAGGGATTACATTAAAACCAAAGGGGTTTTTTTTTTAGTCAGTAGTACTGTGGTGACTGTGATAGTTTACAGGTGCAAGCAAGACAAGATTTGTTAGGAGAGAGAACCTGTTCCTAGACCGACTGGTGGAGTTGGTAAAGAACAAACTCTGGGCACACGAAGCCCGTTTATATGTTACCTGAAAACACTGGTGAGCTTTTATGTGCAAAAGCTCTCTCTTCAGGTTTCTGTTTCAGACGTGAAGAAGGGTTTACATGACGACAGTGTATCTGACTAACAAAAGGTATTGCCCTTCCCTGCATACACTGCCTTGCTTCAACACAGTACCCCTTCATTAGAAACGTGCTCCTCAATATGCTCATAAGCATTATGTATCTCAATTCGTACTCACTAAAGAATAAATATAGAGAGTACATTGAGTCTAAAGCCTACCGATAGAAAATACAAACAATTATTTAGTTTTTTGAAGGCAAAACCAAAATCTGATTCACTCAATAAAGAAAAGGTGGCAGAAAACACAGTTTTCTACACAGTTCAGCTCAGGCACTAGCAGAGACTTCAAAAAGACAAGCACATTATTACACTGGCAGTGTGGCTGCTTTCTAAGACTATGACAGGCTGAAAAGCACAAAGAAAACTAAAAATTGAAATAAAGACTATCTTTTCTAAGTCCATTGGACACTAACACCATCAGAGAGGAAAAAGTAACTAAATTTGACTACACTTTTCCCTGCCTTGCTTCCCAGGCAAGTGCTGTCAAATACACGGTGTATGGAGATAAACAGATTGTAGATTAGCACTTCCAAGCAGAAGCTGAGCATCTGCCCTTGAGAATCCAAGGTCATTACACAGTTTTAGCATCTTCAAAGTTTGGGTGGAGTGTTAAGCTTTCGACTGCTGCCCACAATGGAGCCAAAGTTGTAAAGTGACTGCCGTTTGCTATCAGCAGAAAAACTTTCAAGAAATCCATTTACACCTCTGATGTGAAAGACTGACTGAATATATTTCAATGATTTTAGTGGAAAAGGAAGAAAAAAATCTCAGACTGACCTGAGACACTGATACAGCATAGGAATCTGAATAGTCATTTACCTACAAACACATTTCTTTTTAGAGTGAAGATCATGAAACATGTCTTAATTAAGAGAGGTTAAATACAGGTTTGTGTGTGCAAGCATTCCATAAACATAAACTTCCACAGCAAAGATGTACTTGGAGATGCATTTAATTATTTGCCTTGTACAGATAAAGATTTTAGGTTTTCTATAAGTTTCATCCAGTACAGCATTGCTGTAGAGCAGATATTAAAACGTGTTTATTCTCCAAAAGAATATGTAGAAACAATACATGTAATTCGTTGCCAAACTGGACAGCAAAAGGAAATAACAGTGGATTTGAAACTATGATGGCAAATCATTAAGAAAGAAATTATGCAAATAGTAAGAGGGAGGTGGGCACAGATCCAGAGGGACACATGGTAGAAGACGAGTAAGGATTATTGTAATGAGGCATGAAATACATGTGAACTTTCCTTTCTTTCCTTTACCCACAAATTTCCCAAGCAATTTTTCTTCATTCTTACAGGTCATCAGTATGACACGCATGTGGCAATTACTCATGGAAAAAACCTTAACCAAAGTCGCATCTGATTTGTCTTAAGAAGTAGGGCTAGAATGAAATAAATATGTATTTTCTGAAATCAATTATCTATCAATTATCTACTCATGCTTACTACTACAGATGTTCCTGAATGCTTCATCAGAGCAGGAAACAAAAGGAGCAGAAGTGTAAGCAACAATATGTTGTAAACTGAGTAAAGGAAACTGGGCAGCATTTCCACTGCTCCTGATAGGGTAAGATGTAAGAAAAATGGCTATAAAGTCTAGATAATTTCATCAGACGACAAGCAGAAATTATCTGAAACTCCATCTTCATCTGTGTACAGTGGTGTTTCTCACATGGTTTTATTTCAAGAGTCACTGGCACCTTTTAGAAAAGAAAGAGCAACCAAATAAAACCCAGTCTGCCCCCCCGGCTCCCAAAGAAAAATCTGTGCAGTTTTTTAGATTATAACATCAGAGATAGACCTAACCTTGAAACCTCTATTATTTCTAGTTCTTCTTATGTGCTTTGTTTCCCTACTTTAGTGCTTGGAAGTGTGTTTTGAAAGTTGGTTTTTTTTTTTTTCTTTATTTTGTTTTTGTCAAATTTGCAGACAACTTTATGTTTTACATTTCAAAAAGAGAACACTGCTGCTAGAAAAGTACTTCTAGGTCTGAATTAGGTGTGTTTGTGAGCAACAGATATCTGGTACCAAAGTTCT